ACGATCTCTTCAAGGAGCTGAAACTCAAAAAGGAATCCTATAAGAAATGGAAACGTGGTTATAGTTTCTCATACTTCCCATCTCTTCTCATATTAGGGAAGAGTATAAGAATATCACATGGGCATGAAGGGAGACAATTAGGAAGTCACAATTTGAGATGCAGCTGGCAAGGACCATAAAAGGCAATATAAAGGGATCCTATAGGTATGTCAATAGCAAAAGTAAGATCAGAAATTCCATAGGTCCCTTATGAAATGAGGAAAGCAGTCTAGTCATGAATGATGCAGAGAAGACTCAAGTATTTAATGCTGTTTTTAACTTCAGTTTTCACAAACAGGGTCAGCTACCAGATGACAGAGATAAGGAAGGAGACAAACATCCTACAGTAATGGCAGAGCAGGTTAGGGATTACTTAGAGAAGCTACATGCCTTCAAGTCAGCAGGTCTGGAGGGGATGCATTCAAGGGTACTGAAGGAATTTGCTGAGGTAATTTCAGAGTCATTGGCAATACTTTCTGAGAATTCATGGAGGTAGAGTGAGGTCCCAGATGACTGAAAAAGGGCAAATATAGTGCATATCTTTAAAAAAGGAAAGAAGAAGGATCCAGAGAATTACAGACCAGTCAGCCTGACCTTCATTCTTGGAAAGATCATGGACTAAGTCCTCAAGGAATACACTATGAAGCATCTACAGGAGAACAAGGTGATCAGGCACAGTCAGCATGGATTCACGCAGAGTAAGTCATGCCCGACTTATCTGATTTCTTTCCATAATGAAGTGACAGGCTCCAGGGATGAGGGGAGAGCACTGGACATGGTATACCTCGACTGTAGCAAAGCTTTTGACATGGTCTCCTACAACATTCTCATTAACAAGCTAAGGAAATAGATGAAAATACTGTAAAGTAAATACATAACTGGTTGATTCATAATACTCAATGCACAGTCCTCAATGTCTAGCTGAAAGGGGGTATCAAGTGGTGTTCCCCAGGGATCTGTCCTGGGTCTTGTTCAACATCTTCATCAATGACTTGGGCAATGGGATCAAGTGCCTACTTAGCAAATTTGCAGGTGACAGTTGGGTGAAAATGCAGATACTCCAGAGGGCACGGCTACGATCCAGAGTGAACTAGACAGACTGGACAAATGGTCCACAACCTTGGGACAAAATAACCATGTGGACAAATACAGACTGGGGAATGACTGGCTAGGCTGCAGTACCCCAAAAAGGAACCTGGGGATTACAGTGGACCACAAGCTGAATATAAGAAAACAGTACACTCTCGTTGCAAAAAAAAGCCAACAGTATACTGGGTTGTATTAACAGGAATGTCACCTGCAAATGAAGAGAAGGGATTCTTCTGCTCTATTCAACACTGGTGAGACCTCACCTTTGGAGTACTGTGTTCCATTTTGGGCTCCACACTTCAAGAGGGACTTTGGAAAGTGTCCAGTAAAAGGCAACAAAGATAATCAGTGACCTGGTCGGCAAGATTTATGAGGAAAGGCTGAAAGAACCAGAACTAGGATTATTTAGCCTGGAGAAGAGCAGACTGAGGGGGAATTTGATAACAGTTTTCAAACACCTGAAAGGTGAATACAGAGAGGATGGTGATGAGCTTTTCTCCATAGCTGTAGGGTATAGAACTAGGAACAACAGTTTCAAACTGCAGCAGGGGAAATTTAGGCTGGAGGTTACGAGGAACTTTCTACCTGTGAGGGTAGCCTGAGATTGGAACAGGCTACCTAGAGAAGTTGTAGAATCTCCATCCATGGAAACTTTCAAAAGCAGATTAGACAGACACTTACCTTGGCAGGTTTAGTCAGCGATGATCCTGCCTTGAGCAGAGGGTGGGACTACATGAATCTATTAGGTTCCTTCCAGCCCTACTTTCCTACAATCTTAAATCATAGATAAAGTGAGCCTAGTCCAGTGATTTACCTTATCCACAGAGAAAGAGGTATAAGTCCCCAACAGGTAATACCACAGTAGTGAATTAAAGGCCTCTGCAGGGAAATATCTTTCTTGAAGAATATTTTGGTTATTTTTGAATATGTTCAGTTATTCAGGCAGCTCGCCTACAAGTTGTGACCAGTACTACAGACTACTGAATCCACTGTGGTTGGTCTGTACAGGAAATCCAGATCAAAAAAAAACATAATACCAATAAGCATAAACATAAAAGCATCTGATACTTTTTTCTCCTTGTGTTACTATTGTACTTGCAGAGAAACAGGTTTTAGATGGTCCATATTGGAAATATGGATAAGCTATAGAACTTGAGTACAAGAGGACTGTTGAGTGGTAAAATGCTCAAGACTGTTTTTAGAATTTTAATTAAAAATGTCCAGTTTAATACAAAGCTTGTAAATATAAATGTAACTTACTTCCACGTATGCAAATCTCTATACCATTATAAAGAACACGTTACTTTAAAATATGCATCTTATAGACATGATGGCATGTACTAGGAAAAACATCATCTTGACAACGGGTATGGACATAAATCTAGAAGTACTGATATTCTGATGAGAATTCATTGAGAGCAGGGTTTCAGATTTCACGCAAGGGAGAATAAAGTCTTATTTTTTAAACAGACTTAAGACTTTGTTTAACCTTCGATTCAAACGGAATTTCTGAAGTTTACTGTACCATACAAGATGCCTGAAACTATTTCCCATACCTTTTCAACACTCCCTGCCCATCCCCACTCAAAGATTAGGCCTTCCTGGGAAACAACAACCCTGGCTGTGCTCCTTGGAATTTGGTAAGGGACTCTGCTGCCACATGTAGTAGGACTGGATGAGACTCTAATCCTAACAATTTCCCCAAACTCCAAACTCATCAAAAGAAAGAAAAAAAATTGTGGTTAAAGCACTCAGTTGTGCTGCTTTTGTTCTGTATACAAAAAATAAGAATAATAGTACTTTCTTACGTTGCAGCTAAATTTATTAATGTATGTAAGGTACTCGGTTCCTATGGTAAATGCCCGAGGAATGCCTACAATACAATGAAAGAAAAAAAAAAAAATCACCCAGTTACTTGAGCCAAATAAGCCTGTGCTGAGCTGCATGCTGCCACAGTTAGACCACAACTAGAACCTGAGATAGTCATCTCTGGTAGGTCTTCACTATGCTGCAGTGAAAGAACTGACTATTTTTATAGACACATCCTTAATAAATCCTACAGGAAACAAAAACAAAACAAAAACAGGTGCAGAAGCGATCACAGAACAGACCTCCTTTGTACACAACGGATGGAGATTATCTGAATGAAAACAAGACAATTTCATAAACCATCTTTTCACACTGGAATCATACTAGTCCCACTGCACCTCTGCCCTTTACATTCATAAATGGATAGATGAGAAGGCAGAATTTAGTCTTTAGTAGAAGTATGTGGAGAAAAAGTTATTTCTTAAAAATGCTTGGAATGCTTCATTTCATAGTAACAATTTCACCAAGACATAAATTTATCAATGAAAATTTTCTGTAATACTCAGGAAGAGCTCCAAATTGGTGATGCACTGAATGATGCAAAGGATAGGCATTAAGGGTTGAAAACTGCCATTTCATCTTTTCCGCATGTAACTTTGTCATAGAACTTGCTTGTGAAACATGGATTAAAAGAAGTTATTCCTTGAAGATGTGCTAGTGAATTTAGGTTGCCCTATAGTTTTGATGGTTCCTGGTTTTCCACACCTAATAGGTTATGTATTCTAAGCAGCAGCTTCCTATGAATGTTCACATTTGTGTACATCATATTTACCCAAATCCAAGACATCTTAAATTCAGATCCCACAGTAATTACAATAAAATCTCTGTCATCCGGCATCCCCGGGGTAAGGTGATTGCCAGTTATGTAAAAATTCCAATTACCTGAAAATCCCCGTTAGGGGTTTTCAGATAACATGGAGCAGAGGAGGGGGAAAGGGCAGCCACAAGCAGGAGTGGGGGAGGAGGGGTGGTGGCAGCCGCACATGGAGCGGTGGCAGTAGCCACCACTGTGTGCAAGCTTTCCCCTGCTCCCCCTCCACAGCCGGCTGGCTGGAATTTCCAGTTAATAGAATTTCCTGTTAGTTAAATGCCAGATAGTAGAGATTTTACTGTAGATTCTATACATAGAAAATTTATAAATTTGTTATAATTTTCACTGTCTAAAACCTAATTAGTTGAGATCTTATCTTAAATTTGTCCCCCCCCCCCCGCTGCAGCATGGAAACCAGTGGCAGAGGGCCAGGTCATGGGGGAGGCAATGAGGAAGGCAGTAGAAAACAACAAGCAGCTTGATCCCTGCACCCACACACCTTGCCCCCTTCCACCACTTGCCCTGCCCCTGCTGCCTGGTCCTCCCCTTCCCCACTGCACCACCACATCAGTTGTTGTTACCCGGCTGACTTGGGGTCAGAGTAAAACATGGGCTCTGTGCAAGAGGCTGAAGCAGGACAGAAGCTATCCTGGAGCCAAAGCAAAAAGGTAAGGGAGGGTGGGGAGAGGGCAGGCAAAAGCTGTGGCTCCAACCTCAAACCTGGATTGGGGCTGGAGCTGCCACCTCCCCCTCCATACTTTGTAATCAAATCCAAGACAAGGGGTTTCCCCTCCCCCCCAACCCTGCTCCAGGGAAAAAAAAGTCTGTGTCTTGGTTTTGAGTAAATATGGTAATTTGAATTTGCTCTCCTTCCCAAAGAAAAAAAAAATCTCATTTTCAGAAGTTTGTGTGTAAAAATTCTATTTCTCCTTTTACTCAAAATTTAACTTAAAATTAACAACATATGAGGAACTAATTCTATTGTCAAATTAGTTCAACTTAAGTTGGACAAATACAGATTATACTTTACTGTAAACTAAATATTTACTTACATATGTTGCAGACCAAGTAAACTACTACAGTAACACTTGCTTTTATTTATAGAATACTATGATCCTTACATTTCAGTTTAACATGTTTTACTTTCATTAAAAGGAAAAGATTAAAAGAAAATTTAAAAAAAAAAACTTACCCCCATTATCTGTTCTTTTTAAAGCACCATCTTTATGAGGGCATAACTCACATCTCTGGAAAAAGTGGGGAAAAAAAAAGAACTGGAATGATTGTAAGAATATTAACACAGATCATACAGTTAGAAGATAGATTGACATTTCTGACAGAAAACAATTGATTAGAAGGAAGGCAGGACACATTTCCCTTAATCTAATGAATTCTAAGAGTTCTGAGCAAGCAAAGTTTTCTAATAAGTTTTGATAAAACTGCAATAATGTTATTTATTTAAGCTGAAATAAAATAACTTAATTCTACTTCAAATTCTCTTTGCTGAAAAATCCAAGCAGACTCAAATATTTTGAAAGAAAGGCCAAAAGAAGTACGGCCTTCACATATTCCCAATCCTACCATTTTTTTAATCAAGAGAATCAGATCTTCACTTGAAAACTTTTTCTAGTATCACTTTTCAAAGAGATCGATCTACTTGGCATCAATTCAGTCTCCTTTTGCCCCCAGATAGTATTAATCTTCCTGATCGTAACATTACTGGTAAGTGAGGACATGGAGTTCATAAAATCCTGACAGTGCCTGTGAAGCAGCATGCCAAATGTGTTTAATAGTAACAAATTCCATTCTAGCAATGGATTGTGGACTGCAAAATACATTAAGGACTACATATGCCTTCTAGTCCATAAAAAACTTGTGGCAGTGAGAGACATGGACATATAAAAAGCAGAACTTGCTCTTTGTGTAGTAAGTAAACTTTTAAGTTGTTTATTTATTATGTCTTCAGTCCACTGATATATGCAACAGCATGCAAAGAATGGGATAGTGGAAGGCTTTTAAAACCATTTCTGTTTTTGCCCCTTGTTTCTCCTCCAGCTCATGTCTTCTTTTTTCTTTTAGCATTTGCTTCCCTGCAGCATCTTTTAATTCCCATCTGCTTCCCTCTTACCCTCCCCCCACTCCATCTGCTAAAATGATCAGCAGTTAATTAATACTTACATGAATGGGTCATCATTTGGCTTTTAACCCTAGAGGGAATTTGTTGAGGGAAAATTGGTTCAACATATCCCTGAGCCATTTTTTCAGACTGTCTGCAGACTCAGATAGATGGCACCACATTAATTATTCAGCTGAAATTTTGAAAGGTTTGTTTGCAACCAAATTTTTTTTTTTAATAAAAACTAATTCTTCAGAACTTACAAGCCTGCAAGCCACAAATGCAGGCTGCAGGTGTCAAAAATCACCACTCCAGGAAAACGCTAACTGCACTGCACTTGGTGTCAGAAAGTACACTCAGACCAAAGCCAATTCTCCGTACATGGAAAAAGCTAATTTCAGAGGGTATAAGCAATACTGTGTAGAGCACGGATGCCAAACTTACACCTATGGGCTAGATCTGGCCCATGTAGCCACATGAACTGACCCATGGGCCACTGGACCAGCCCTGGCCCTGCATGCTGCATGTAACACATGGCCTGGACCCAGTGCCACACACACTACAGGCAGTCAAGGGTGCCACGTGCAGCCCGCACCCCAGACCTCCCCTATGCTACATGCAGCACTGGGTCTGACCTGCACATCATAGGCAGCAAGCAGCCCAT